AGTTATCAAGGAGAAACATATCACTTTTAGTGCTTATTAAAATTATTTATTTACAATTGATTGTAAAATTTGAACTTGAAATAAAAAACATAAAACAGATAGTCCATTGTGTAGTTTTATACTGTGCTTTTATACAAATATGGTCTCAAATATAGTTGCAGCTTTGGTTTGATATCACACTCCTCAGGGGCAGTGAAAAGTAAATTCGAAATGTGTTTTTCGAATCTTGTACTTCAAGAGAGTTGTGTTATGGGTTTAATAAATACATATTTTTTTCAATCAAAGTTTGAAGTTTGTCTATATTGAAACTACAGATCACATAGTTCCCCCTAATGTGATGAAAAATGAAAAAAATCGATGTGGAAAGAAAATAAACTAGAAGTGAAAGATTTGTGGCTCATATGATCCTGAGTTCTTTTCTTTCAGAATACAACATCACTTGTTCAAGGTAATGTGAAATGATACTGTTGTTATGGGAATAAACTGGATTTGATGTGGTCATGTATCTAACAAGAATAGATCTGTTATGGAAATAATGTAAACAGATACGTTGTTGGTCTTATCTTGTTTTACTATTACACCAGACATTGGATGTTAAATGGGTAGTATACAACCAGTATTGTGTTTATCAACAGTTGAATTACTGAACATGACAGGACAATAATAACATATGTTATGTAAAAGATGAGATTGAGGAGGTGTAAAGTTATGGATAAGTATTGTGCCATGCCAACATAATTCATACTAAACATATTTTTCCAGTAAGTTTTAATTAACCTTGTCACACTCCCCTTATTAATACACAACTGTTTATCTTGTTTATTAAAACATAACATGAGGTGTGTAAGAATTTTGTATTTTTTCCAGTGTCAGTTGGTAGTAGGTATATTCAAGCTAGTCATGGAAAACTTCTCCCTTAAGTATTGTTTGTCCTACTAAAAGAATGGTTGTTTTAACCTTTTTAATGAAAAACGTAATTAGTTTAAAAATTTTAGTTGTGTACATAAATACATTAAAACCAAATTAGGTTAAAAATTTTAGTTGTGTACATAACTACATTGAAACCAAATTAGGTTAAGAATTTTAGTTGTGTACATAAATACATTAAATCCTAATTAGGTTTATAATTTTAGTTGTGTACATAAATACATTAAAACCTAATTAGGTTACAATTTTAGCTGTGTAAATAAATACATTAAAACCTAATTAGGTTAAAAGTTTTAGTTGTATACACAAATACATTGTTCGTGCTTCAGTTTTTGTAACCCAACAAATAAAAAAATGTGAGAAAAGCTCTATTTCATTATTGTATGTTAGCTATATGCATATTATCGAGTGTGAATTCTCACTATACACATTAAATGCTTACTTCCCATTAAAAAGTATCATATTGAGATTGAGGGACTTATAAGTATTGTTACGACAGCGGAAGTCACGTGACGTTGGTAACACATCATGAGATTCTCGAAGGATCTTGAATTGTCCTAGCAACTCTAGTCTGTTCCAGATGCCCTCTTTTTTAGTATATAACCCTGGCCAATAAAGCAGAATGACAGAGAGACAGAGATTGAAGATAGAGATAATCGAGTCAAGCTGTAAGTAAAGTGTGTGAATCACTATGATTATAGCGTGTGTTCATAAAAGTAGTCAAGTTTAAAGTGACTGTGGAAATTCTGTGTATTACAAAGTTGTATCGAGAAAGAATAAACTAGTTTTAATTAAGAAAGGACTTGTATGGCTGAAGTTTCTCGGAAAGAATTTCTACGGGAAATTAACAAACGACCAGAGACGCAACAAATTGGTGTCATAGAGTGGGACAGATAATAATAATAAAAAGAAGAAGATGGAAACAAGAGGTGGCAAATCATACTACAGCTTAGTAGATTTGATAACAGCAGTACAAGAACAGCAAAGGAAACAAGAAAAACGAGAAAAGAAACAAGAAGAACGAGAAAAGAAACAAGAGGAGAGACTACAGCAGTTGTTGGGGAAAAATGAAAAGTAACAAGAAGAGAAATTACAGCAGTTGCTGGAGGAAAAAGAAAAGAAACAAGAAGAGAGATTACAACAGTTGTTGGAGGAAAAAGAAAGAAACAAGAAAAGAGACAACAGCAGTGGCAAGAAAACCTGCAACAGTGGCAGCTCGAACAATAAACAAGAGAGACTATAGAAGTGGTTGGAGGCGAAAGAAGATAAACAAGAAGAGAGATTACAGCAATGGCAACTGGAACAAGAAAG